AATAAGTTGAATAACAGCGTGTACAAATGTACAACTAGCATTATTACAGCTATATTATAATACGATAACAACTATTATCAACAACAATTAAACAACAAGATCCCGCAACAGGTGCAAAAACAAACAAGAATGTTAGTTCGAAGGATTATTATGCATAACGGTTGATGATTAGACGCAATCAGTACAACGTTATTCTACGATGACGTGAGCTTTGTCAATAGTTCATAATCGACATTTTTGTAAAGATAGAGAGCGAACTATTACGATACTTGCAATTCAATCAAAAAAAGCTGCGTGCAGAAGATGCTCAAAACAGTTGTTAAATATTAGAGATGGGAAAGTTACTACAGATGAAACGGGATGCTAAAATTACTGATCGATTTTTGCACAATCATTGATTTGCAAGATGCTCTCATAGACCAGATATTTCTCAATGTACACAGGCAATACACATATCATGAGTGGCTGGTAGAAAAAGCAATTTTAGCAGCAAAAAATTTGGACGTCAATGAATTGAATCTCAAGATACAATATTTGTTACTAGGACACTTGGTGTCATACAAATCTATCGATACAGTTTGCGATGCTACTGAAGCTGTAAATTATCCAACAGAATTTTAAAACTCATTGGATTTACCAGGCAAGCCATCGAATAATTTATAACTGAAGGTTGGATCTCCGGTTATTTTACTTCATAATTTGAACCCACCACGGTTGTGCAACGACACACGATTAGTCATAAAAAAATTAAAAAAATGTTATCGAAGCCACCATTTTAAATAGCAAATTCCCAGGTTAAAATTGATTATTACCGCGAATCCCTATTATATCCATAGATGTACCAATATAATTTAAACGCCTTTAATTTCTAATTAGATTGGCATTTGCAATGACTATCAATAAGTCTCAAGACCAAACGATGTCTGTCTTAGATTTGAGCACGTCAAGTTTTTCACACGGACACAATTATACGTGACGTGCTCTCGAACTATACAGTTTGTTTGTGTTGGCGAAAGATGGGATAACCAAAAATATTGTACACTCTGTTGTATTAAGGGATTTATACTGTTTTTTACTAATATTGTCATAATTAGCGATATATATATATATATATATAAAATATATAAAAAATATAAAAAATCGTATATATAAAATTTTAAAGGATCAATTTTAATAAATTATTAAAAAATAAATGTTTGATGTTTTTTCATTTTTATCTTTTGTTGCTGTTCACAGTACTTCATAACTCTTCCACTTATATAACTCATCCTTACACACTTAGTATTAAATTAGTTATTTTTTTTCAAAATAACAAAACAAAATAATGACAAAACATTTGTCGGGTCAGCTAGTTTTATATATATATAGATTAAATATTAAATATTATATATGAAATATATATATTTTGTGAGTTTTCACCGCAGCAAATTCGATTATCTTGATGATAGAACTTATCAATAAATAAATAAACAAATAAATAAATAAATAAATAAATAGATAAACTATATATGAATTAGCTAAAATTTCTACGAAATATAAACGGTTTATCTTCTTGAGCGTGTTGTAACGTTATCGTGTGATTATAAAAATCTAAGTTTTTGAATTTAATTCACGAATTTAAATATGTTAGATATATTAAATTTATAACAATTTAACCTAGGTTACAATTAAAATAAATTAAATTTAAATTTTTAGTAATATAATTATATAAAGTTAGCGTACATTTTTTTAAATTTAATTATTCATTTTGGGAATAATTGGAAACTCCTAAGTTTTCAAATCCCATTGAGAAATTATTATTAATTTCTCCTTTGGTTAAAAAAAAAAGTCCGAATAAGCGAATATTCTATATCTTGAAAACATCAGAAAACTGGAGATGATATTATTTATAAAACTGATATGTCTATGCTATGCTAAACGACACAATACTTATTGAATATTATGTCAAATATTATATTATTAAAAATACATTCAGCAGAAATGATTAATTATAATATAATGGTATAATGACTTGTATTGTTGAAAAGATAAATCATAAATAATAAATCATGAAGCCTATAAAATGCAGGAATAACAACAAAATTAATCAACTTCTGTTTACAATAAAACAAATTATTTCGTAAAATTATTCCACATATGAATATGAAACGAATAAAAAAAATTCGTAAGTGAATTAGAGCATGTGTATACTCGCATAATAAACATGAGAATATAATATAGTGTTTCATTTTCTTTTAATTTTAATGAAGTGATGCAACTGCAATATGTACATTCATTATTTGAACACTGGGAGGTAAATAATAACTGTGGGAGTGAGTATACCACTACCAAAGTTAAAATTCGTATAAATACGGCCAACAGCATTCTATTATTCATCAGTATTCTTTCTATTTTTATAAATAATATATAAATATATTTACATCCTTAATTTTAAAATCGAACACCGCTTAGCACTTCTAAGATGGCTATAAAGGTAATATAACATTTTATTTAATTATTTATAACAATTTAAAATAAATTAACTTGTGCACACCTGGCACTCTCCGTGCGCACGCCTATATATATATATATATATATACATATATGATTTATAATGTTATAATTTTCATAAGCTGCCTTTATTATACATTTACATAAGAACCATATTAATATATTTTATTATAAAGTCATCAATTTTTTAATTTAATTATATTTATACTGTGTTTGAAGTAAAAAGTGTTTTATATAATTAAATAATATTAATAAAAATGCATACTTATATATATTTACTATTTAGTGTTTAATTTTCGTTCAAATTGCGTAATAATAATTTCAACATTATTTCAATGTTCCGATATAGTTTTTTTGAGTAATCGACTCAATTTTCGTGATATTCAAAATTCTGCCAAAAATTGATGGATAAAATATAGAGGTACACGCGGACGGGAAAACGCTATTATTTATTTTCCAACGTTTTCTGTTGTTGATCAAAAATCAGTCCGTAAACTCACTGTGTATTTCTCTTTATTTACAACACGTTTTTTACTCGTTATGCAACATATAACGTATCGTAAGCCGTCGGTTATTATCTGTTCGAAAGCTAAAAGTATGTAATATTTCGTCGGACGTTTTTCTTTCAGTTGATCGCATTCGCCGCGCTGGTCGCCGGTCACATGATGGTGTTCGCCTATCCGCCCGAGTACAGCAGCTACAACGCACACGACCAATACGCGCACGCGCCCGCCCCGTACAGCTTCGAGTACGGCGTGCACGACCCGCACACGCACGACGTGAAGAGCCAACACGAGTCGAGCGACGGACACGGCAACGTGAAGGGATCGTACAGCCTGTTGGAAGCCGACGGGTCCACCCGCGTGGTCGAGTACACCGCGGACGACGTGCACGGGTTCAACGCGGTCGTCAAGAAAGTCGGTTCGCCCTACTACCACGGTCAGCCGTCGTCAGCCGACTACCACCACGGTCACCAAAACGTCTACCCGTCCGGCTACCACTACTAAACCGAACCGCGAGGGAGTAAGCGTAACACCGTTCATTTCCGAGAAGAGGAAAACCATCCGTTTCCGACACGACTTCAACAATCTATCATCTAACATCGTTATACACGGTCGGATAATCATTAATATTGCTCGTTATTCGAATAAAAAATACTTAAACAAACTAAATCGTGTCGTCGTTATGCTTAATTCACTCGTACATATCCACGTCACTTTTATGCTGAAACCCTACGACTGAAATTATAAGTATTACACGATTTTAATATATTACTAGAATATATATTCTAATCTATATGGATGTATCTGTACTTACTGCGAATCTAGGATCATTACATGTGCCACAAATGAATGAGTTATGGCAACGTCTATTACATTTTATACTACCTTAAAAACAAGTGAAATGTTTTGTGACACGTTGCATATTTTCATAACTAAACCGGGTTGTGTTCCAAATCTGTACATCTCAATTTTTCCCTAAACTATGAGAGTAATTAAACTTTTAGGGTGCAAAGGTCCTCTATCAACTTTTGAAACAGGAATTTAAGAAAGAAAGAAACCTGATGAATTATGTTATTATTGGTTAAAACAAAGTTTAAGATAAAATTTAAACATTATATTAGTTAATTAAGGTCTATTAAACAATAAATTATAGGTACAGTTGCGTATAATCAAATTAACACTGTTCCTAGACAAAGAATAGAATATGATTGGTGCCTCACATAAGCAATTAAGGTTAGGTTATAAAATAAAAGAAATAAAAAAGCATGGGCTTATTATTGTATGCCATGGACCCGTAAGTTTACCGTTCATCAGAGAACAAAAACGCTACGGAAGTATAAGAAGTAATATAAGTATACGGAAGTATTCACATTGGAAAGCGTTGCGCGGTAAACGGGGGGCAATGAGCGGCGAGCGTTGATCGGTGAGTGGTGAAGTGTACATACTAAACAGCAAGCGATCAACGTTGTCTATAATATTTCATAGTCACTTGCAGTCAGAGTCGTGTCAAACATTTCAGCACCCCGGAGCAAAACTTTTTTTTACGGGGTCACTGAGCACAGGCCTACTATTAGAAATCATTGTAATTGTATAATTTTTTTTTAAAACATTACTATATAGTGCTCAAATAACAGAAAAAAATTTTTGGTTTTTTTTTTTTTCTGAAAACCTTAAGTTTTCTAGACCTGATGCCATATGGCATCATTGGGAATATATGGATACTCATTTTAAACTTAAAAAAAAATAACATTATTTCATTGAAAATATAAAAAATTAATTATAGCTCTTGCTACATCATATGGTTAACATTTTGTTTTATGTTAATAAAACACTTATAAAATTAATAAAACAAAATTATTTATCTAATAAAAAATATTTTTTTTTTTGTATAAAATATATAAAACTTCACATTTTTAACAAATTTGTGATTATCACAATATAACTTAATATTATAAATATAAAAAAAAAAATAGTAACTTGAATTCATAAATTAAAATAAAAACATA